CCCCGACACGCCCACCCCACCGCCCACCCGCCACCCGTCGGAGCTCCCCCACTCTCCCCACCCTCCCCACCCTCCCCACACGCTTTCCACCTGCAGCTCCTTTGGGGATCCAGACTTTAAAGAGCCGCTGCACCTGGTGACCGCCACGCCCGACGTCATGCGCGAGCGGCTGCAGCCGGGGGACGACTTTGTCATACTGGCATCCGACGGGCTGGTGGGTGGCTGGGGCGGGTGGTGGTGGTGGTGGCGGTCGTGGCTGTGGTAAGGGTGGGTGGAGAATGGTTGAGTAAGAGAAGGTCAGGGTGCGATTGGGTTTGCTGCGGGGCACTGCAGGGTGCCCGCCCGACCGTTTCGGCCTGCCCTGTCCGCCGCGCCCTGCTGCCGCCTGATGCAGTGGGACGTGCTCTCCGACTCTGATGCCTGCTCCGTGGTGCGGCGCCACCTGCAGCAGGCGGGCGCGCCCCGACAGATCACGCCCCCGCAGCTGCTGCCCGGCGCCGCCGCCTTTGGCGCGGGATCCTTTGCCGACCAGCTGCGGCGCCCGCCGCTGCTGACGCCCGCGCTGGCGGCCGCGGCGGCGGAGCGGCTGGTTCAGGAGTCGCTGGATCGAGGCACGATGGACAACGTGACGGCGGTGGTGGGGCTGCTGCAGTGGGACTGAGTGGTTGCCTACTGCCTGCCCGCGCGCCCGTCTCGGCCGGGCGGCGTGCCTCTCCCGCCCTGCGGTGGCCGAGTAGGGCAGAGACCACGGCGCATAGCCCCTGTTTGTTTGATCCCGCTCTCAGGCTACATATACCACGAATGATGCAAATGACTCGTACTACTATTCAGTTTGAATACCATGCATGCCGCGCTACCCTGCTCTTTCCTTCTAACACTGCCCACATGTTCGGCAGCGAGGCGAGGTGGCGGCGGCAGGCCTGCCCTGCGCAGGGCGCCGGTGCCCCGGCGCTTGCCCAGTTCCGAGGGTTTCAGGCTGAGGCAGCGGCGACCCAACACCCGTATCGTGCATTTCAGGGCTGTGGCTGGTCGGAGCTGCTTCTGGGGCGGCTTCCACAGCTCTGAACTGCTCACGCTGTGCACGCTGTCGTCAGACTGAGAACGCGTCCGCATTATATCGGCGCCCTTTAATGGCCCAGTCACCTTCATAAGCATGGTAAACCACGCCATCAGCGTTTTACCACCACTGTAGAGCTTGGTCTTTCACGCTCCCGGCAGGATCTATCTCGGTCATGCGGACGCTGGTCACTTCACGCCCTGCCCTGCGATCATGGGCGCTACTGGTCGTTGTGACAGCTCTGGTGCCGCCCGCTGTCCCAGCCCACAGCTTGCCCACCAGGTGCGCCGCCCGCTCCACCCTGCAATTCCGGCCCGCCCCAGGGCGGTGACCCTGGCACGCTGCCACCCTGCAGGCGACTAGCGCAGGACGATCTGGTGCAGTCCGCGATTGTTAACGGCGTCAATGCCAAGAGGGGGCGGTGAGTCCAGAGCTAGACAGCTGGGACACCTTGTTGGGTGCTGACCGTGCGGGGCGGCGGCCCGGCTGCGTCAAGAGTGAAGGCGTGGCCTCCTCTGCACATGGGCCGCTGCAGGTACCCCTATGCGGCCTCCCTGCGCCGCAAGGTCGGCAAGCTCTGGATGCACTTCTGCGGCGGTGCGTGCAGCATGCAGGCATGGCTTGCCCAGCATGCGCTGGCCGGTGGTGTTCGTCAGTGGCTGGGCATGGCGACGGTGTGTGCCAGACTGGCCTGCCGTCCAGCGGAGAACATGCCCTCAGCAGATCTCCCTGCCTCGCTCCCATGCGCCCTTGCAGGCTCTCTAATCCACCCAAGAGTGATCCTGACAGCCGCCCACGTGCGTGTGCTGCATGCTCTTGTCCGCTTGAACTGTTGGGAGGGGGAAGCGACGCACCAGCCCTTTGGGTGTGCTCACCCATGTTTCTCCTTCCTACCTCTGTGCAGTGCTTCTACAACGAAGATGGCACCCGAGCATCCCCTGGATTCTTCAAGCCGCTGGTGAGCGCCCCCAGTTCCCACAGAGCGACCATCCGCTGCCAGGCGGCAACCGCTCCTCCCGGCCCCTGCCTCCCAGCCTCTCGCCCCCCCTCCATCCCACCCTTCCTGCTTCGCACCCCTCCCCACTGCGGCTGCCCTCCTGCCCCCGCCCAATCAACCGCAGGTGCGCATAGGCGGGTATGTCAAGTATGGCGGCGACGCCGGGCACGAGACCAGGCGTGGCATCGCCGTGCGCATCCACCCCCGCTACTCTCCCGATACCGAGGAGAATGATGTGGCGCTGATCCTGCTGGACCGCTCCTCAACTCGCGCCACCATCCGCCTGCCCCGCCCCAGCCGCCTGCCCGCGGCGCGGTTTGGCGCGCAGCTGACGGCCGTGGGGTGGGGGCTGCTGGCGGATGGAGGGCCATCGGCCCGGGTGTTACAGGAGGTGTGTTGGCGGGTGGGAAGGGGAGCCCGCTGGCCTCCCTGGGCCTGGGCGCGCTCTGGCAGCCTGCCCGCAACCCAGCCTGTACTGCCCTGTACATGAGTCGGCAGCACCGCCATGATACTGCTGCACGGTTGGTTCACCAGGGGTTCCACCCATCAGCCAGTCCCTTCGTCTCTGCTGGCGTTGCAGGTGCAGCTGACGCTCCGAGGCTATTCAGTGTGCAAGCGGTACATGCCCAGAGAGAGGTGGGCTAGGAACTCGATGATTTGCGCGGGCAATCCTGAAGCCCGCCGCCGCAAGGACACGTGCTCAGGCGACTCCGGCTCTCCGCTGCTGCTGCGCACCACCAAGGGGCGGCGGGGCTGGGACCTGCAGGCAAGCGCCGGGTGTAGCTCAGAATAGCTCAGCTCCTGTGCCTCGCTGCTCTGCGGGCGGTGGCCACAGTGTGAGGATGGGGACATCCAGTTTAGAAGCGGCAGCCTGAGGCTGATGCCCCTGGGCGCAGCCGCATCTGACCAGCAGGCTTCCACAAGCCCCCTCCCACCCCGCGGCGGCTGCAGGTTGGCATCGTCTCCTGGGGCTACCGCTGCGCCGGCGGCAAGCCGGGCGTGTATACCAACGTTGCGAGAATGATGCCCTGGATCAGCGACAGCATGAGAGCCATGCTGAAGCGGCGCGGGCAGCGGCGTGGACTACTTGGTGAGAGCTAAATGATGCAGCGCATCCCTCAGAAATGAGGTGCCGCTGTCCTTCTTTGTTTCATTCACTCAGTCCTTTTGTTTGTTTCATTCACTCACAACTGGCAATGACTACTCCCCGTCAACACCCTTGCACAGCCCAACACTACCGCCTTCCATCTGTTACACTGCACCCCAAAACAGAAATGCAACATAAACGCAACAGCTGCCCTGTACAAAAGTGGCACTGGCGGACAACCCCCGTCCGAGATGCTGGACAGAATATGCCCCGGCCCGCTTCTGCGGTGCTGGCGACACATGTCCCTGGGATCAAAGCTTCTCGTAGCCGCTCTCTTGAATGACCCGGATGAAGCCCGCCCGCTCGCCGCCTGCATGGGTATCCCCACCCTTCCTGCCCTCCTCCATCTCCTCCTCCTCCTCCGACTCCTCGCCATACTCAACGAAGCACCTGTGCAGCACGAACAGGGCCATCAGCGCGGTCAGGGTGACCAGCGCAACTCCTGCAGCGGGATGGGAGCAGGCACCAGAGTAAATCAAGAGGAAGAGGGCGTGGTGTGTGCCTGTTCCGCAGCTGAGAGATGCAGGGCCGCGCCAGCTCAGCAGCTGACGCTTACAGAAACACACACTCACCGCTGATGCTGAAGTAGTACTGCATCTCCGTGACTTCCTGCACCGCCTTGTCTGCAGGTGGTAGTATCGGAGAGTTGTGCAGGTGAGAGACTGTTGGCTCATGCCAGTGCAGCTGAGCGCAGCTACCAGAGCTGCTGAGACCCAGGGCAGCACGACGCACCTGGCAGCAGCACCAGGCGCCTCTTGGCCACCGAGCCGAGGCGGATGTCAAATGCGCCTCGCTCGCTTGCATTGGCGCCGGCGCCGGGCCTGCGGGGAGATTGGCAGGGGGTGGTCGTTTGGGAGGTGTGTGGAGCGCAGGGGAATGCAGCAGGTGGCGGCTAGGCAGAGGGTCGCGGTTCCTCCACGGCCGAGATGCAGTGCAGCTGACAGCCGAGTCTGCCAACAAAGGCGGCCGCATGTGGCCCTCGCCCAGGCCTGAGCAAGTCCGAAGCAGCTGGCTGCCAGTGAGCGGGCGGGCGGGCCCCATCAGCTGCAGCCACCACCAACCACCACGCTCGCCTGCTGGAGACGCCATAGGATGATTCGTTGCGAGAGTACATCAGCTCAGCGCTCCAGCCGCTGGGGAGCTCGATCTTGAGCGTGGGCACGGACACGGGGGGAAGGCCCTCCACCACCTCCGCAGCGCTGCCATTGGCGCCGGCGCCGCCCACGGAGGCGGCGGCCTCCACCGCGGCTGCCAGCTCGGCGATGTCGGAGGTCAGCTCAGCCAGCATTCCGGCTGCTGCGGCGGGAGTGGATACTGAGGACTTGGGCGAGATGCCGCTGCCCAGGCCCGCAACCCCAGACGCCTCCTCCGCGTACTCGTAGCTGACCTGCCAGCCGTCCAAGTCGCGGCGCAGGGCCTCGTCCGCCGCCCGGCTGCTCTCGAGTGCCGCCAGCCACTCCGCATCTGCGGCCTCCGCTGGCGGCACGTGGCTGGCGCCCGTCACCGGCGGTGGCGGGGTGGGCGGGTTGAGGGGCGGCGCCGGCTCGGATCCCACTGCTTGGGCGGCCACCATGTCATCATAGTGGTACTCATAGTCATCTGCCAGGTCAGCGCTGGTAGCAGGCTGGGCCCAGTCGCCGCTCAGGTCCGCGGCTGGCTCCAAGGCGGCGGCCGCGGCGGCCGCGCTGTCAGCGGTGGCGGTGGCGCTGGCGGCCACCAGCAGCGCCAGCAGCGCCAGCAGGACGGCGCCTGGCGTGCGCTGCATGTTGCGGTGGGACTGAGCTGCTCTGCGAGAGGCAGGGGCGGCTTTGTGCTCAGCACCCCTGAACAAGGTTCAGCGCCGCGTTGCTCTGACTCCGAGGATCTGAAATTGTGTGTGGGTAGTCGCGCCCGGCGCTTTGAAGGGTTTTCTGGGGGCGGGCCAACAATCCGCAGCGCAGCGCGCACGCCACGCCGCCCCACCTTCCCTGCTGCAGTGCTGGCCACACGAACCCCTTCGCGAACCATTGCATCGCTATCTGCACCATCCCAAGAGTATAATCAGGCTTCAAATCGCCGCCTGCACTGACTCCTGTGGTTGCCCCCAATCGGCACTCGCCCTCTCGCGCTCAGCACCGCGTAGCACCGCTCTATCTCATCTACCATCCCCATATCGATCATAGCGCGCGCCTCAGAAGCCTCGGCGCCATGACCGCCTCGCCGCCGCTGGCCGCCATCGCGTCGGTGGCTGCAGGCGACACGCCGGACTCTGTCGTCGTGCGCTGCCTCAGTTTCTCCTTCCCCTTCAGCCCCCCCGTCATCCACGACCTCAGCCTGGAGCTGCCCCGCGGCTCTCGCTGCCTGCTGACGGGCGCAAACGGCGCGGGCAAGACGTCGCTGCTGCAGGTGGGAATGGCGAGGTGGTGCCTGGTCTGCCCCTCCCGCTGCTCCATGCTTGCGAGTGTGTCCAGCTTCCTATACAGCAGGTATCGAATTGCATCCACTCATGCTGCAGGTGCTGGCCGGCAAGTACATGGTTGGGCAGGACACGGTTCGTATTCTCGGGCGCCCCGCTTTCCACGACATCCAGCTGGTGAGCAAGGCACAGGGTTCTCAGAACGCTGAAGAAGGGTTCCGTCTCCAGGGCTGCCGGTTGATGCTGCCGTCCGGGTGTACATGCTTGAATTTGTTGTTTTGTTGTGTCCTGAGGCAAGGGGCAAGCACCTGCTGCCCGTTCTCCGTCCACACGCCGGCCGCACTCGGCCGCCCTCCTTGCAGGTGGCCAGCGGCGACTTGAGCTACCTGGGGCCGCAGTGGCGCCGCGACATCGCCTTTGCCGGCAACAACGTTCCCATGCAGGTGCGCCTGCTGTGCGCTGTGTGGCTGTAGAGGGGTCGGGTGCTGTGTGCCAGTGCAGGGGGTGGTGTGGTTTGTGGTGCTGGTAGGGCCGGATCCTGCCAGCGTCGCAGCTGCCGCTTACGCCTGCTCGCGTGCCTCACTGTCTGCAGGGCGACATTGCGGCGGGGCAGATGCTGATGGGGGTGGAAGGCGTGGACCCTGAGCGGCGGGACAGGTGACCGGCTTAAAGCTTGCCTCTGCTGTAGGCAGCGGCCCTCCCTCTGGCAGTCGTCTGCGCGGGCAGCATCTTGGGTTTCCCTCCCGTTTTGCTCTCCCTCTCCTTCCCACCGCTCAAGCACGCCTCTCTTGTTTCCAAACTCGTGCCCTATCAGGCTCATAAAGCTCCTCGATGTCGATCTGAGCTGGCGGCTCAACAAGGTGTCGGACGGCCAGCGGCGGCGCGTGCAGATCTGCATGGGGCTGCTCAAGCCCTACCAGGTGACTGCCCGCCTCGCCGACCGCAGCCTGCCCACGTGCCGGGCCCGCCATTGCAGCCTGCTGATGTGCCGCAGCATTGTCTGCTGCACTTTGTCCCCTGCGGCATGAGCTGCCCCAGCCGTGTCTCAAATCCCTCCCTCCCTTCCTCTCCCTCCTCTCCTCCCTCCCCTGCCAGGTGCTGCTGCTGGATGAGATCACGGTGGACATGGATGTGGTGGGGCGCCTCGACCTGCTGGCCTTCTTCACGCAGGAGTGCGAGGAGCGGGGCGCCACCATCATCTATGTGCGCCGGCATGGGGTCGCTGGCTGGCACTGCCGGCCTGGCCTGGCCTGGCCTGGCATGGCATGGCATGGCATTCGTGCTTCTCTGTGGTGCTGGGTGCGGACGCAATTAGAGAGCGAGGGGGTTGTGGCGTGGCGGATCTTGTGCATGGCAGGGGAGCAGGGGAACCACCTGGTTGTTGCGTTTGCGGCACTGCCGGTGCCCACCGCCTGCCTTGCAGGCCACCCACATTTTCGATGGGCTGGAGAGCTGGCCCACGCACTTTGCCTATTTGGAAGGCGGCAGGGCGGTGCGAGGTGGGTGCGCGTCTGGGGCTCGGCCGGCGCCAGCCTGGCTTTGTTGCCGGTGCGGGTGGGGCGCGGTACTGATCGGTTTGGTTCCCCCATCCTAATGCACCCCGGGGCTTCCTGGCGTCGCATCCCCGCCCTGTGGCTGCCCCTGCAGGTGGCCCTGTCAGCGGCATCCCCGAGCTCCACACGGGCAGCAAGCTGCTGCATGTCGTTGAGGGATGGCTGAGACAAGAGAAGGCGGAGCGTCGGAGGCGGCAGGCGGCAGCGGGCGAGCAGGCGGCGGCACCGGTCGCGCCCCGCATCTCCCACCCGCTCATGCCCTCCAAGCACATGGCATTCTTCAGATAGTCTCTGAAATTCGTTTGTGCGACAATGATCCTGCGCAAGAGGCCCAATGCAGAGTCCTCTCCTGAGAGGGTTTGGCGCGCCGCAGGTAGGCCTCGTCGCCGGTGTCACCTTTCCTGTGAATTGGGACCCAAATGAGCACACGTGATATTTGCATGCATGGTTATACTCGAGGCGGGCGCCTACGACTTGTATTGAAGGTTTTAGCGGGCGTGCTCAGGGTGCTGTGCCGTGGAGCGTCACGACGATCTCCTGCTGAAACTGCAGAGTGGGCTTGCCCTTGCAGTTCTGTTCCAGCAAGAGGCACCTCAGGCGGTGCCTTCCCCTGCAGTTGTGCACTCCCTTGGCGCACTCACCCTGCCCGCTTGCCCTTCCCCGGCCACGCGTCCATTCGTTCCCCACAGCTGGAGCCGAGCGCGTACCTAGCACCCGCGGCCCTGGGGGCCTTCCTCCCTGTGCATCCGCAAGCCTCTAGCGGTGCCCGACGCTGCCAGTCCACTGCTGCAGCCAGTCATGTCCTCGACTGTCCCGCAAAAGAAAAAACGGACCAAAGGCGGTGAGAATACGCCGAAAACAACGCTGGCCGGCATCCCCTCCCCACCCCAGCTGCCGGGGGCCTTGCCTGCGTGCCCGCACTCCAGCATCAACCATCTCAGGGCCGCTCCAGCGTGTTCGCGGCGCCCCGGTTGGGGTGGTGTGGGCCGGGTGTCGGCGGCGCCCCGCCGCCTCAGGGAGCAGATGAGCAGGGTCCCGACCACCCTGCTCATCCGCCCTTTCCCTGCAGGCCGCTACTCGCATGAGATCACCAAGGAGGAGATCGAGCAGTACTATCACCTGCCCTGCGAGGAGGCCAGCAAGCAGCTGGGCATCGGCCTCACAATCCTCAAGCGCATCTGCCGCCGCCTGGGCATTGAGAAGTGAGCGGGACGTGCGCCGCACTGAACAGCTCGTGTGCTTGGACGGCAGCAGGCAGCACCCAGCATGCACTACAGGGATCTGGGGAGCCTGCCCGGCGGAGCAGACTGGCCTGCTGTCGCCCAAAGCAACCCGTCCCGCACGAAACCCCGAAGCCCCGCACTGTACCCCCCCCCCCCCCCCCCCCTCCCCGTCCCGTCTTCTCCTGCCCCTCAGGTGGCCCTACCGCCAGCTCAAGCGCGCGGGCAAGCTAGGCGATGCCGCGGCAGCCGCGGCGGCGATGTCCGGCGGCGGCGGCGGCGGCCTGTCGTCGCCCTTCCAGGCCGCGTCCGGCGGCAGCGGCGGCGTGCCCAACGGGCAGGCCGCGGCAGCCCAGCAGCAGCAGCAGCAGCAGAAGTTCGCGTGGGGCGACCCCGAGGCCGGGCTGGCCCTGAGCGGCTCCGATTCTGGAGACAGCGGCGGCAGCTGGCAGGCGCAGCACCGCGCCTCCGGCCCCGTGCTGCCCATCATCGGCCGCCAGGCCTCGGAGCCGCTGGCGCCGCCGCCGCCGGCGGCGCCGCGGCAGCTGGCGGGCGCGCCGCCGCGGCGCCGCGCCCCGGCGGGGGCCGACAACTTTGGCGGAGCGGGGCCCGCGGAGGATTCGTTTGTGGCGGTACTGGGTGGTCCCGCCACGCTTAAGAGAATTCGGGAGGACGACGGCGACCCGCTGCAGGCCATGCTTCAAGGGGACTACTTTGCCGCCGAGGCGCCCTTCCCCAACCCCTTTGCCGCCGCCGCGGGCGTGCCCGATGCGCCCGGCGGCGACGGCGGCGGCGGCGCGCCCGCCGCCGGCGCCGACCAGCTGGCCGCCTCGCTCAACCGCCTGGCCATGCGCACGCTCAGCCTCAAGCGGCAGTGCAGCCGGGACGACACCGGGCTGGATGCTCTGGATCAGGCGCTGCTGCAAGAGGTGAGCCTTTGATCGGAGGGTCGGGAGTCGCCGGCCACTGCGGGAGACGGAGCAGAGGGGGACGGAGCCGGGGCTGAAGGCCCAGGAGTCGCCGCAGCGTGTGCCACATGAGGGGCCCGGCATGCACCACCAGAGGGAGCTCCGGCGCTCCAGCTCTGGTGGTGGTGGGGTTGGGAGGGGGCGGCGCGTGGCACGCCCCGCCTGGCGTGGGCTGCCTGCTGGCGGTGTTCTGCCCTGCTGATCCACCTCGCCCACATGCCTGCCGTGCCTGCGCCCTGCTCTTCCTGCAGCGCATGGACGCCCAGCAGGCGCAGGCCCACCAGCAGCAGCGCATGGCGGCAGCCGCTATGGGCTTGTCCCGCGCTTGCAGCATGCCGACGGCCGGCAGCGGCGGGCAGCGCGCGAGCCCGCCGCTGCCGCGGCGCCAGGCGGCGGCGGCGGCGGCGGCGGCGCGCGGCGGCGCCGCCCACCCCGGCGCCTTTGCCGGCTTCGACCCGCACGCGGGCTGGGTGGCGCAGGAGCAGCTGCGGCTGCCGCCGCTGCCGCCGGGCCAGCAGCGCGCGGCGGGCGGCGGCGGCAGCAGCGCCGCCGCCTCGCCCTTTGGCGCCGCGCAGGCCCAGGTGCTGCCCATGTCTCATGGGGGCCGGGTGGGAGCCATGGAGAGCATTGAGGAGCCGCCTGATGCCGACCTGGGCCTCGCCAGGTGTGCCGGCAGCAGCGCACCACACGCCACCCTAGGCAGCAGCAGAATGCGGAGTGGGGCAGGGAGCACTGGCTCAGTCTCGGCTCAGCTTCTCTGGGAGTTTCTCAGGAGGCTGAGGTGGAAGAGGGAGGCACCTGCCGGGACGCACACCTGCTGCTCACCACCTCTGCCACCTCCAGCCCCGCATGGCCTGGCCGCCTGGCGGCCAAAGCCTGCCTGGCCCCCACCCTGCAAAACGCCGCCACTCACTGTGTTTCCTGTCACCTTTTCACTCCCACGCAGCGACCCCAGCCTGTCCGCGCTCGTGTTTGGCCTCGGCGGCCCGCGGCGCAGCACTTCCAACTCAGATGGCGTCTCGGATGGCGGCATGCTGCATGAGAGCGGGTCGGGCATGCTCAGCCTGCAGCACGCCAGCAGCAGCGGCAGCGCGCAGCGCGGCGGCGACGCGCTCAAGCGGGACACCAGCGCCGTGTTCCTGGTGCAGCAGGTGCAGGCGGCGGCGGCCACCGCGGGCGGCGTCACCAGGTGCGCGCGGCGGCGGTGTTGGTGGCATTGGTGTTGGGGGGGCTGTGTGTGCAAGTGTGTTTGCTGGGCCTCACGGTGGCTTGCCAGCTTCCCAGGACGCGCAACGGTGCCGCTGGCCGGCACCGCCGTTGCACCCTGCCCCCAACCCCGCCGCGCCGCCTGCCCTCTTGCCTGTTGCCGCAGCGTGGGGCCGGCTGCGGAGGGCGGCGAGGCCGGGCGGGGCACGGCGGCGGAGGGTCCCCAGGACAGCTTGGCCGCGCTGCTCAGCCCCTTTGGCATGACCACTGGCGGCGCCCTGGACGACAACGAAGGTGTGTGTGTGTGTGTGTGTGGCACGGGTGGTGGAGGTGCCGTGTCTGTCGATCCGCTGCGTTTGCAACCACCGCACGTCCCGAATTCCCGAGCCGACCCGCGCCGCGCTGTGCCTGCTGTGCCGCGCTGTGCCTGCTGTGCCGCAGTGGACGACCTGCTGGCCGACTTCCTCGGCCCCGACCCCTCCCACCTGGCAGACGGCAAGATGGTGGAGCTTCTGGGCGCCTTCTCGCCCAGGGTATCACCCAGTACCGCAGACCCAATTGACCCGCTGGCAGCCCTGGAGTCGCCCCAGCCGCCGGCCGGAAACGACGGCAGCGAGGGGCAGGGCGCGCCGGCGGCGGCGCCGGCGGTGAAGCTCGAGGCGGCGGCGGCGCCGGCCGGCGCCCCCGTGTCGGCGTTTGCGCAGGTGGCGCAGCAGCCCGCCGCCAGCGGCAGCATGCTCAGCCAGGACACCCCCGCCAGCTCAGGTGCGGGTGGAGGCTCGCAGGCCGAGGCATGCAGCAGCTGCTCTACCGCGCAGCCTGCTCATTAATGCCTGTGCTGGCAAGGCAGCTGACTGTTTGCCTTGGTCGGCGCCCAGGCTGCACCCCGCACCCCTCTTCTCACGCACGCCCTCCTTCCCCTGCCCCTCTCCTTGTGTGAACCGTGTGCAGCCGGCGGCGGCGCGCCCCCGGCCAGTGCTTTTGAGATGGCTGGGTCCCACCAGGGCACCGATGTGATGCAGCTGGCCAGCAAGCTTGTGAGCGACCCCGACCCCGTGAAGCAGCTGCTGGCCAACCGGCTGCTGCAGATGCAGCAGCAGCAGGCGGCGCACCAGCAGGCGCAGCAGGCGCAGCAGCAGCAGCAGCAGCAGCTGATGGCGCACCACGCGGCGCAGCAGCAGATGCTGCTGCAGGCGCAGGCGGCGTCGGGCGGCCACGCCTGGCCGCCCTCTCCCGGCGCCGACCCGGCGGCTTCCCCGCAGCTGCTGGAGCTGCAGCAGGCGGCGGCGCACCACCAACAGGTGCATCAGGCATACCTGCAGCAGCGGCACGAGGTGCGGCTGATGCTGGCGCAGCGCGGCGACGCGCCAGCTGGCATGGCGGGGGACCCCGAGCGCCTGGCGCAGCTGGGCCGCCTGAAGCAGCTCAAGGATCAGCTGGCGGCGGCGCAGGCGCGGCAGAGCGAGCTGCGCCAGCAGCGGGAGATGCGCATGGCGCAGTCGCAGCAGGCGCAGCACCCGCAGCAGGCGCAGCACGCTGGCATGATGCAGCAGCAGCAGCAGCATGCCATGTACATGCAGCCCGGCGCCGTGCTGGGCGACATGGGCTCCGCCTTTGCCGGCGACGCGCCGCGGCTGGGCCCGCCGCCGCCGCTGCCGCCGCAGCGCGGGCAGTACGGAGGCGCGGCGCAGCAGGAGGCGGGCGTGGCCGCCCTGTTCAGCCAGTGGCAGGGCGAGACCGACAGCCTTGACCTCGGCTCGCTCCAGCAGGGGCAGGGCAGGTGGCCCGGCATGGCGGCCTCGCCGCACACGCAGCAGCAGCAGCTGCTGCAGCAGCAGCAGCAGCAGCAGTGGGTGCCCGCCGGCCTGCACCAGGCGCAGGCGCAGGCGCAGGCGCAGGCGCAGGCGCAGGCGCAGGCGCAGCAGATGGCGCAGGCGCGGGGGCAGCTGTTGGCGCAGCGTGCCGCCTCGGCGCCGCTGCCGTATGACCTCGATTGGTCTGCGACGCTGTGAGGGTTGAGGGTGTAGGGAGCGTTCGCCCTGCTGCACAGTGTCGCCCTCCTGCACACACCCTGCCTACCCCCCCTGCCGAGCCCATATGCGCCTGCACCCGGCTGCTCGGCGGGCCAGCCGTGCGCCTGGCTAAAGCGCATGCCAGGCCCCGCTTTCAGATCAACACCTCTCCAGCTCTCTCCCCTTGAGCTCGCTAGCCTTGCTCACTCTCCTCCGCCCGTCGTCGCGCGTCCGCGAGAGGCGGCCTCCCGCTGCCGCCTGCCTTCCGCCATCCCCATGCCAAGCTCCGAAATGCACCCGTTGTCATTTGACCCGCACGCCGTCCCCTGCCTGGACCGCTGCACCCCAGCGCTCTTGTTCACTGCACCGCTGTTGTTATTTCCTTCTTCCCTTCCCAAAACACGTTTTTCCAAAACACCGCCAGCACCGCCTGGCCGACCAGTGCAGCCATGTTGTCATGGCTGGCATCCTTCTCCTTAGTTTACACACCATCCGAGATCGAACCAAGCTTGCACCCCTAACACTTTCTTGCTCTGTCCAGCCTCACCACAGCCCTCCGGGCGGCCTGCCTACTGACCTGCCAGGCACCCGCATCATGCCATCAATACCACGCATGTCTGTACCCTCTTCTTTCGCACCCTCCACCCCAGATTCCAACCGTCCCCCGTTTTCCTCCCCGTTTTGTTCCCAGCCGCTGTGCGCTCCTCTGACCAACGAGCCCACTGCCTGTTTAGCAAGCTGCCTGCTGTGCCTCTGTGCCCTGTACTCTATCCCCTCTCCCGCCCGCCCGCCCACACCTGCTGCCTGTAAGATCCGCAGTATGATCCCACAGATGGAAGGCGGCCCCGCCAATCACAGAGGTGGAAGGAGAGCTGAAAAAGACATCAAGTCTGTGAAACTATCTGCAGCCACTCTCGGTTGTGCGCCTCAAACTTGAGGCGCTGCACGCTGGCCGCCCACTCCTCGCTGCCCGCAGCCACAGCATCCAGGGCCGCATCTGCCGCACGCGCCACCTGCGGCAGGGGCGTGGCGGCGCAGCCGGACACGTGGTAAAGGAGCTGGTCGGTGTTCCTGGCAGGGGGTGCGCCGTTGCCAGGACGCACCCTTGCTGGCCGTGCCCCGTACCGTGACGCCCCGCCCTGCCACCCTTCACCGCAGCAGCACGGGAGCCACCAGGAACACACCTCGCGGCACGTGTGCTGCAGCAGCTCCGCAAACCGGGCCGCCAGCTCGGCGTGCGCCAGCAGCGCGGCGCGGGTGGGGGCCTGCGCCGCCAGCCGCGCCGCCGCCGCCGTGGTGGCCAGCACATACCGCTCGTCGTCCATGCGCTCCAGCATCAGCCCGTGCAGCGCCTCCACCTGCAGGCAGCGCGGGGATGCCCCAAGGTGCAGACACACTTCGCCGTAAACCACACCCAATGACGCACCCCCATGCACCTATGTGCAACACCCGTCCCATCCAGAATAGAGCCGCCCACTCGTGGGGGACTCAAACCATGCAGGCTTGCTCTTCACAGAGCCGGCCCTTGCACGCAGCGCACATCACAGGCGCATGTTCCATCCCAGCAGCCGCTCTCACCAGCCCTGCACCGACCAGCATGCCCGCGCACTCCTCGTCCGCGCACAGCACCGCCACCGCCTGCACCGCCGACAGCGCCACGTCGCCCTGCTCCTGCTCCACCGCATCGCTGCCCGCCAGCAGGTCCGCTAGGAAAGTGTGCAGCTGCGTGTCTCGCAGCAGCTGGGCGTAGTGGTAGCCGGGGATGTCCAGGCAGGAGAGGCAGCCCAGCGCCTCGGCAAACGCGGCGGGCGGCAGCGAGCCCGCCTGCAGCAGGGAAGTCGAGCAGGCACCCCGGTGGGGCGTTTCGGTTGCGATCCGCAGCCCGGGCAGTGCAGGCCCTTTGCGTCAGACCGGCGACTGACCGGCGGGCAACAGGTGCACACACAAGAGCTCCCGGCGGTTGAAGGCAGCGGCCGGCAGGCTGGCTGGCTGGCCACACGAGGCTCACCATGACGAGGCGCCCCATGCGGGGTAGGGCGGGGGCAAAGCGCGCCCGCACCGGCTCCGAGTCGTGCTCGCCCAGCGCCCGCAGCAGCTTCCACGCCAGCTCATCCTCTGCCAGAGGCCCTGCGGCTGCTGCCGGGGCTGCGAGAGGAGGAAGCGCCGCGGCTGGCGGCTGCGCCCCGCCGGCCTCCCCGCCCTCTGCCAGGGCTGCGGCAGGCTGCGCCCCTTCGGCCTCCGCTCCCTCTGGCAGGCCTTGCTGCGGGGCGGGCGCCGGCTCGGCGGGCCCCACAGCCAGATCAAGCAGCTGCTCCAGGCGGCCGCCGCGGGCCATCTCTTCGGCCACCCGGGCGCTGCACGCCAGGCTGATGGATAGGGCTGCCAGCTCTGGGCAGGTGGCGGCCAGGGGCGGCTGGGCGGCTGTCAGCATGGCGTGCAGGCTGGGGATGGCGTCTGCGACAGCAGGCGGAGGGGCATGGCACGCAGCACGCAGGTTCTCACTGCGGCAGCTGCAACCACCCCATTCATGAGCGCAGCCCAGGTGCCCAGCTGGCATGGCACGGCGCAGTGCAGCATAGCATGGCAGCGCAGTGCATTGGCTGTGGCCGCACTGCTGCGAGCCACGTTCTCACCTGTGTACAGAAACATGGAGCGGTTCTTGGCTTCCAGAGACAGATGGTAGAGCAGTCCCAGCACCAGGCGAGGCAGCTGCGGACCTTCCTTCCCCACCCATTCCTTGCCCTGCTGCTGCTGCTGCGACGGTGTGTGGGCGCTCGGAGCCCTGAGCAGGGCCGACACCTTTGCAATCAGCCCCGCCGCTACCATCTGCTGCCGCATGGCGTCATCAAAAGACAGGTTGTGCAGCAGGCGCAGCACGCTCGGCAGCAGCTGGCTGACGCCCTCGGCGCTCCCTTCGGCGCAGCTGCTGCCGTCGCTGCCAGGGAAGGGTGGCACCAGCGCCGCCAGCTGGCCCACCGCCCCAGACTCCCGCAGCGCCGCGCAGTTTTCGCCATACACGGACAGCTTGCGCAGGAAGGTGGTGGCAAGCACCAGCAGGCGGGGGGCGCCGCGGTCGAGCAGCGCCACCAGCAGGCTCAGCAGGCCCTGCAGGCACAGGGCGGCAGGGCACAGAAGCGACGCTCTCTGCTTGCCTCCGGCCTCCCCGGCCAAAGAACGCCTCCCTGCTGGTGATGCAGAATTAGCTAGCCAGCCACTTCTGCTGCTTGCAGGCCCCAGAGCCGCCGCTGTGGCCCACCGCTGCCACCACTCCGCAGGCCATCGCCATAGCTGCAACTTTCAAGGTGCCCGCCCACCTTCTTCACCATCTTCTGCTCCACCCCCGCATCCTCCGCCATGTTCAGCAGCAGCGACAGCCCCGCATACAGCAGCGGCTCCTGGCGCGCCAGCGCCAGCGCCAGCCGCTGCTCCCGCGCCGCCAGCGGGCGCGCCGCCAGCAGCGCTGCGCCCACCCCCGCGACGCCCACGCCCTCCCGCTGCTGCCAATGTGCTGCTCGCCGCAGCTCCAGGTCAAGCAGCTCCATAGTGAGGGAGCCAACCTGGTTCTGCTGGGCAGGCAGGCAGGGAGGCGGGGCGTAGGGCACGGAAAAAGCACCGCACGTGCTTTGGTGGCCGCCGCGCAGCCCCGGCGCACAGCTCGGGTCAGCCGGGAGTGGGATGTCCGTCCACAGAGCTTGCAGCATGCATACGCCCGTGCTGGGACAGGAGCCTGTCCAGGATCAGCAAGCCGGGCACCCGCTGCCTGCCGCCCCCCCAGGCGCCGCACCTGCACCAGCAGCGCGTGGGCCTGCGGCAGGTGCGACAGCGCAAAGAAGGACATGAGCAGGGAGAGGCCCAGCTCGGCGCTGCGCTTGGCGTCCTCGCGCAGCAGGCGCGCCAGCGCCTGCAGCAGCGTGGGGTGCGCCTGCAGCGCCCCCAGGGAGCGAGGGTCGCGGAAGAGCAGCGCGATGGCGGCGGCGGCCGCCGTCTTGGGGCCCAGCTCCTCGTCGTAGAGAGCCTCCTGGGCAGGACAGGGCAGGGGTGTGTGTTTGGCATCCAGGGGGGTCAGAGATGGTGGCGACGGCGGAGCGACCGGCTTGCCGCCTCACTTGCAATGCTCTCTTCCAGGCACCGTGGACTGTGGCAGGCACAGTCCCAACCAAAATATGGGTAACCAATGTTGCGCTGCATGCACCTAAGTGCCCAAACCAGCACCAGCACACCAGCCCCCTCACCAGGTACGCCTCCAGTTGGTCGATGGAGGCCGTGGCGGCAGCGGCTGCCAGCGCCTGCGTCGCGCTGGCCCCCGCTGCCTCCAGGTAGCGCAGCTGCTCCTCCCGCAGCAGCTGGCGGTCCAGGTCGCTGACCCTGTGCCGCGCGTCCAGCGAGGCTGCGGGCTGGGCGGCGTCGGGTGGCGGCTGCGGCGCCGCCATGCGGCGTGCCGCTGCCGCCGCCGCCAGCAGCGCCCCGACCTCGTCCACGCGCTGCGGATGCAGCAGCTTGCAGCCGTCCACGATCTGGCGGGCCAGCTGCGGCAGGCCACTATCCTCCTCGGGAAGCTCAAATTTGATGCTGCAGATGCATGCAAACATTGAACGTCTCTGTGTGCAAGGGTTTTCCGCCGCCGCCGCCGCCGCCGCCGCCCCGCCGCCGCCGCCGCTCCCCGCTCACCGCTTGACGCCTTGTTTGGTCGTCTGCGGCACTTCCTGACCGTTTGGCAGCACCGCCACCTCCACGCTCTGGGCAAGCAAGCAGGGAGGACTTGGGGGACCGGAGGCGGCACCAGCAACACATTGCGCTCGTTGGTTGGGCGGCTCACCTCGTAGTGCACCTCCAGCGCACACCCATCGGCCGCCAGCTCCAATTTGCCGGGGCGCACCTGCGGTGGCAAAATGGGGGCTCAGCCGAGGCGCCGGCGCGCCGCTCTTCTCTGCGTCGCTGCGCAGCCAGCCCCGGACTGGCCTTTTTGCGTGCCGACATGTGCGTGAAAGGAAGGACGCGGTTCAGCAAGCTCGTTGTTTGACTTGAAGTTTGAGCAGCAAGGAATACACGATGCGATCTGCACAAAAGGGAAATTGCAGGATCGATTTGAGCGGTTCGGTTGCACAGGAGGTCCGCGGCCGGCGGCGTGCTGTGCTGTGCTGTGCTGCGCCACCCCGCACTCCGCTCCCGCAGCTGCGTGTCAGCTCCTTTGAGTCCAGCCCCTGCTTGCACATGGCCTATGCTTGCTCGAGAGGGTTTATATAAAATTACCAAAGCGAAGCTTGCAGCACTGCTGTGGCACAAGACTCCCTGCCCAACCGACGCAGGGGCCGGTAGGGTGCATCACGGTAGGGAGATGAAAGCTGGCGGCACTGCCGGCACTGCTGGCAGCAGGACATTCAGCTGACAATTGATTAAGTGCATCAACTAGTTGTGAAAGACGTGATGGGCAGGAAAAAAAATGGGAGGCCCCCGGGGCTTCAAACACATATCATTCCGGCGGAGTGGGTTCCAAAGAATGGGCAGTGAGAGCGACGACATGGAGATGGGGTGATGGGTGATGGACAAATATTAGGTGTATCATTGTGAATATGGTTGACCAATGAATGGGTTGTGACCTAATGACCGACAACCCCAACAAAAAAATGGGGAAGGGAATTGCGTTTGTTCAGGCGGTTCTGTTTGGCAAGGACCATACGTGTGGTGAATACGCAATGAATCAATTCAGGTCCTGGCTGGGAAGGATCGAGATGCCTGGCGACATCTCAGCAATATCGCCCACATCAAGCAGGCTGCCAAGGGCCGAAATCGTAGCCTGGGAGGGACCCTGCTGCAGCGGCTGCAGGCAGGCGGGGAGGTTCTCGGCATTGGCTGTGGCAGCCCCAGCCTCAGTGGCAAAGGGGCTGCACAATTGACTGCCGCTGCCACTGAAGGTGCTCTGTCGCGGAGCCTGCTCTGGTGCTGCTGCGGCCCTGGGGTCAGAATAGGGAGGTGGGGCACGAAGAGCAACGAAGTCAAAGAGGTTGCGCTCTGGCTGAGCTGACGGCGGGGCTCGTGGGGCGGCGCTGGGCATGGGCATGCCGGCGGCAAGCGCTGCAGCTTGCAGCTGTGCCGCTGCACTGCCCGGCGGGTAGTGTGGGTGCCAGGCTGTGGCTGTGGGGGGCGCCTGGCTTGCCGGCGCCGCCTGCCTGCATGCAAAGCTGAAGGCTTGCTGCGATGGGCCGCCAGCAGCTACAGGCGCCGCTGCGGCAGTGGCAGCAGCCACCCCTTGCTCCGGCCACATTGCTGGCTGCCACAGGCTGGCGCCCTGTGTTACAGTCACCCCGCTATGATAGGCCGCGTGAGCAGACCTTGGGCAGGGGGCACACGTGATCAAGGGGCATCAAGAGAGGGGGTGGACCATGGAGCACCCTCTCCATGGCTCCGACCACCCTCCCCCCAGCTGAGCGTCCCAGGGTCACCCCACCCTGGCCCCGCTCCCCGTCCTGCCGGACACGCAACCCCCACAACGTGGTGGGGGANCGTGGGGATCCCTTAGCAGCTTAGGC